CGATGGCCGCCTCTTCTCCGATGGCCGCCTCTTCTCCGATGGCCGCCTCTTCTCCGATGGCCGCCTCTTCTCCGATGGCTGCCTCTTCTCCGATGGCCGCCTCTTCTCCGATTGCTGTCTCTTCTCCGATGGCCGCCTCTTCTTCGATGGCCGCCTCTTCTCCGATGGCCGCCTCTTCTTCGATGGCCGCCTCTTCTCCGTTGGCCGCCTCTTCTTTCACTTGTTCTAACTGTTTAGCAATATCTTTTTTAACTGGTTCAAAATGAACTGGCTTGTTATTTTTGTCAAGATCAACCACAACATAATCATTTCTTTTCTGGACTGTTAGTTTATTAAATTCATCTTGAGTAACATCATAAATATCCATTTTGCCTGTGCTTCTGAATAAAGTTCTTTCTTTAGAAGCTTTAATTGGAAATGCACGTGTGAACATTTTCTTTAAATTTTTTCCATTAAAAAGTTTTTTTTCCATGAAGGATTGTATCTTTGGTATATATCTGCTATTTTTTACATTCCGTCTATAATCCACTGCAGAATCCCACGCTTTCTGCCAAAAGTTGTTATCAGATGGATGTGCAGGATTTTTCACTAAATGTTTCATCACAAAATCCTTAAATGATGGTGGAGCACGTCTGTATCTGATGTGCAAATTTGTGCAAACACACAAAAATTCTGACTGTGTATTGATGGAGTTTATAGTAATGTTTGAATAGAATCCTCCAGGAAAATGCTGGCTTTCTTTGTCTTGTTTCAACACCATAAAACTGCAGTTTTTTTCCACCTAAAAAGAAGTAGTAAGATTTAATTTTACAATTTCATGAGACCATAGTTAACGGAGATAAAGATACATAACAAAAGTATATCAGAGATATATTAAGCCTGCCCCCTTGATCAGTTTGTTAATATGATGCCTTCAACAGTGCAGAGGCCCTAGGGCCTAGGCTATTGTTTGATTTGCCTATACACAATTACAGTGGCCAAACAATCTCTAAAAGGCATCTGGTGAACATTTCTAAAACCATTAAAACATGCTTTACTCAAAATGTCTCTTTGGCAGGGCTTTGCTGAAAAAACTACCACACCACCACTGTAATAATTAAATGCACCTTAAATTTCCCCATTTTGAGAAAAACACTGTAAATTACCATATTTTTAAAAATAATTTTTGTTTTACAGTGTAAATAAAAAAATATAGAAATATTATGTACAAGTAGACAGAAAGGGACGTAATGCTACTTTCCATATAGAAAATTATGTAGTAAACATGCATTTTAAAAGCTCACCTTCAGTGACAGACTCTCCAGATGCCATTTCTCAGGATTCAGTTGCACATTTTCCCTTACTGACAGGCTTACACCGGGGCAGGACAGCTTGCTCTGCAGTTGCAATGTTGCACATAGTTTCCCTGATCCCAGGTGTGCACTCTCATTCAGAAATGGAGAAGGACAGTTGAGGGGCAACCCCTCAGAGAGAGGACATAATGTCAAAAAGAAGTAAAGAAGTATGACTGATATCTTCATTTTGGCTGCAAACTCATCAGCTATGTCCAGCATCCATGCAAAGCGCCAATATAAAGACCATCTAGGCAATAAATAACCATGCAGACTGTGTTACAGATTTACAGGTCATGGACACTAGATAAGTTATGTCAATATCACTGTTTTCATACAGTTATTTTACCGCAATTACTGTAATTTATTTGTTAGGAACGTGCACAAATACATGCAGAACTCGATCATTGATCTTTGGCTGTGATAATTTAATCATACTTCCGCTGATTTTATCATTCACACTGCAAAATGTAGTTAGTTGAGTTTGCTTGTGAAAATGGATTGCCTTAAATTTAACAAGTAAATTAGCTCATAATTTTTGAGCTGATTAAACTTACAACCATGCACGCATGAACTACCTTTCAGGAAGCACCCCGCTTTGTTCCCTGTATCCCAGCTAACAGGGAAGCGGAGTCACTGCAACTCCTTCAGCCATGATTTATTCACAATACAGCACACCTCGAGTACCTTATTGCTTTTATAAAACAGTTACCAAACAATACAAATATTAAACCCGAAAATGTATTTATTGATATGTTACTTTTTAGAAGTAAGTTCATTAAATGCTGCCCTTCCACTAAAAATAATTCCTGACAGTGACAGTAAATACACTATACACTATACATTCTATACACAAACTATAATTTAATATTTAAAAAAAGTTTCCTTGTTGTGATTATAATGTTATTTAAAGGTTACAAAAAAGCATTTCTCAGAACGTTCATCAAGTACAAATAACATCACAAGGACGTTTAGAGAATGTTGATCTCAGAACATTTCCTCAACATTCTGAGAACTTATATCAAATATTATATATAAGTCATAATAATGTTTCAAAAACATTACTTTTTACAGCACACCTCGAGTACCTTATTGCTTTTATAAAACAGTTACCAAACAATACAAATATTAAACCCGAAAATGTATTTATTGATATGTTACTTTTTAGAAGTAAGTTCATTAAATGCTGCCCTTCCACTAAAAATAATTCCTGACAGTGACAGTAAATACACTATACACTATACATTCTATACACAAACTATAATTTAATATTTTAAAAAAGTTTCCTTGTTGTGATTATAATGTTATTTAAAGGTTACAAAAAAGCATTTCTCAGAACGTTCATCAAGTACAAATAACATCACAAGGACGTTTAGAGAATGCTGATCTCAGAACATTTCCTCAACATTCTGAGAACTTATATCAAATATTATATATAAGTTATAATAATGTTTCAAAAACATTACTTTTAGAATGTTTTGTCTTAACATTTATACAACTTGACGGTGTAAGTTGAAACATTCACAAATTAAAGAGACATAAGTTGGACATTTTATAAAAATATTAAGTCAATTGAATTTTAAGTCGAGATTTGAAAGTTTCAAGGTTAGAAGTAAAGCTTATATAACAATTGATCACTAAAGGTTGAAAGTATTGACTTGCATGTTTACAAGGTACAGAGTATAACATATTTATTTATTCATTAGTTTATTTAACAGGGACAATGCAATATTACATTGCTACAATTTCAAGCAGCCGATGCTCCACATATAGGCTTCTAGCCAAAGGCTAATTTGCAGCCCCAGTCCCTGGTTAGGCTTTTTTAACAACAGTAAAACAATAATCACACAAAAAACTAAGTAAAAAAAAAAAGAAAAAAGCTGAGACTGTGTATGACCATCAGTGTTCCCAAACCTGCTTTTGTTTGAACCACTTTTTTTAAATTTCTTTGAAAAATGTTCAATTCTGTTTGCATTTTCAGTTCAGCTGCTAGGCTGTTCCAAAGCAGTGTACCTTGAACTGAAAATGTGGATTGTGCAAATTTAGTTTTTCTCTTTGGTACTGTGCAATTCTGATTAGTTGCACCTCTTGTAGTGATCACCTTACTACTCTGTTTTGATATTACTTGGCATATAATTTCTGGAGCAAGACTATTTACACATTTAAAAACCATTTTAATAAGAGACAAATTAATACAATTTTCAAAACTAAGCAAACTATGTTTTTGTAAAATATTACAATGATGCCATCTATTTGGTTTCTTGTCCAAAATTTGTAGTGTTTGTTTATATAGAGATCTAACAGGTTTGATAGTCAAGAAACCTGACTCCAGACAGTCACACAATAAGATAAATGCAAAAAGACCATAGCATGCATGTATAACTTAGCTGCTTTTAGAGACATATACGGTCTAATCATGTAAAAACAATTCAAGTTTGTTCTGATTGTTCTACACAGCCTCTTTACATGCACATCAAATTTCAAATGGGAATCTAAAATAACACCTAAATATTTAAAATTGTTAACTGTTTCTATTGCCTTTTGATTGATCTTAATTATAAAACCACTCATTTCCTTCCTTCTAATTGAAAAACACATTGAGACAGTTTTTGAACAATTCAAGGTCAAACAGTTGTTTTGCAGCCACTGTGACACATCAGTCATTTCATTTGTTAATATATCTGCAGCTAAGCGTGGAGTCTGTGCCGATACATAAATGACCATGTCATCTGCATATAACTGACATTTAGTTTGCTTACAACAATTTGGTAAATCATTGACATTTAAGGAAAACAACAATGGACCCAAAATTGACCCTTGAGGGACACCCATCTCATTGTTTTGTAAAGCTGATCTTGAATTATTTATTTTAACACACTGATCTCGATATTCTAAATATGATCTAAACCAATTTATTGCCTGCTGAGAGAAGCTAAACACATTTAATTTATGTAGGAGAATTTCATGATTCACTGTATCAAATGTCTTTCTGAGATCTAAAAACACTGCGCCTACTACATTGTCATTATCTAAAGCTCCCTTAATAAATTCTGTGAGAAAGTAGTTTGCCATTTCTGTCGAATACTTAGGTCTAAAACCAAACTGTTTAGAGTGAAGTAGATCATGTTTTGCTAGATAGTTGATTAGTTGTTCAGCTACCAACTTTTCCAAAATTTTAGAGATTGCAGGGAGTATTGAAATTGGTCTATAATTCTGAACCTCATCAACCGATCCTGCCTTAAAAATTGGGGTTAGAATAGAAGTTTTCCAATTTGAGGGGAATTTACTTTCTCTAATAGATACATTTATCAAATTTACTTTTTGGCTTTAGCAAACAAGCACTATATATATTTTTTTTTTTACGAATGCGGTATCCATTCCAAATATATCCTTAGCCCTTGAATTATTCAATTGATTCATAATTTGAAGTATCTTATCTTCATCAACCTCAGAGATATAAAAGGATGAGGGTGTGTCATTTATTGCATTTTGAGGTAATTGTACAGGTTCAAAACATATAGCAAGCTCTTCCACAGACTGGATAAAATATATATTAAATTCATTGGCAATTTCAGTGCTATCAGTACTAAGTCTTCCATTTATGTGCAGCTCCAACAATGGTTTTCTTTGTATGTGTTCTCATTTAGAAAGTTTGTTAATGCACTTCCAAAGAGATGAGCTATTTCCTCCTGATTCTGCAATCAATTGCACAAAATATGCAGTTTTCGCCTTCCTCATTTCACTAACTACTTTATTTAACGATTTAAAACTTAGGATACCTGTCTGTGTTTTCGTAAGCATATGTCAATATTGGCTTGTATTTACGGGATTTCACGTTGAACTTGAGCATGGTTTACAGGAAAGAGGACAATTATTAGCCAGCATATGCATCTGAACACGTAGATGTGCAGTGGAACATTTAATGTTAGTGGAATATTTTTTTTTTTGTTTGTTTGTTTGTTTGTTTGTTTTTAAGGTTAGTATGATGTTCTTGAAGCATTCTTTCAGCTTCATTTTTATTAATGTTGAATGTTATAGCAACATACACCGCAAAATCCTCAGTGTTAATGAGACAATTAAATGATTAATCGAGTGACAACAGAGCATTAGTGACGAACAACTGCTGTTAACAAACAGAATCACTGAAGGAAAGAGGAATAACAAGAACAGAAGAAAAAGAGCTGTGCAGAAACACAACAACTACAAGAAGTAGCTATACATAAAATAAGACATTAGATCTCAGCAGAGGATGATTAATCAGCTCCACAAACAGAATTGCCAGCTCCACTTTTTGCTAACCAGTTTGACTTTATTTCTGTCAGACATCTACAGAAGTTCTTATTGAGAAATCTAGAGGTTTAAATGTTGATGTTTTATAGAGGACAATAGTTTTGTTTCAACTATTTCAGTTTCACAGTCACTATTATGGTGATTAATGTTTGCTTTAGTGTGACTCATGACCCTCAATTTTTTAACATTAGTTTGCCTAATGCTATGTTTGTTCGTACTTTTCTACTATAATTATGTATCATGATATTTACATGCTTCTCTACAGCAGTGTTTCTCAACTAGTGGGTCGCAAGACTGTTCTGAGTGGGTCGCCGAGTGTACAGTCAAAGAAACAACATCAACATCAAAAAACGTAATTCTAAAGGTTTTTTCTGATATGAGACTTTTATTTTGAAAGACGTGCATGATAGCTGTTGACACTTCTGTCAGATGCAGTTTAAGAAAAGAGTGCCTGAGATAAACGCGTATCACATAAATATCATTTTAAAATGATAAAATTTCAGGATTCCAGAAGTTTTAAGAGCTGATTGTTCCTCACGGATCCATGTTTTTTAATCAATGAAATTACCTGACTCCTCCAGTGTTGTTGTTTTTTTTGTTTTTGTGATTTAGTGGATTGAGGGTAAGGATTTTTAAAAATAAATGGTAAATATTTCAGAGCTTGGCATACATAGATAAGTGCATAATCGATGCAAAAAAATGCATTTTAAGATTGTATTAATTTACATGACATGACATGACTAAAATAAAAGTAAAATAATCAAAATAAAATAAATAATAATAAAAAATAAATAAAAAAAAAAGAATCACACTTTTAAAATGTCCTTATTAATTGAGCTTTTCCAAGACCAAGATTGTGGTTCTTTAAAGAAAAAAGCAGTTATTGAGGGTGAATTGTATGAAATATCT